TGCTGATGACGACGCAGCTTGACAGTGATTAATTACTCTGACGCACCCCTCTACCTTTGGCACAGATTATAGTTATGTCAAGTACAATATTGGTTTAAGTATCTTCGGACCATGTAGATAGAGACCCTAATTTGTGTTATGTAGTGTAATAGATGTTATTTTGCCTTTGGGGGGTCACTCTCGGTACATCTCTGATCAGCTGAGCTGACTGAGCAGCGGCATCGAGCAGACCGTAACCTGCTACGGCGGGTCGGGGGTCCTGTTATGCCAGAGTGGAGGAGGGAATTGAGGGTTTCCTCGAAGCCTGAGCGAGCCTCTAGCCTGAGGCGGAGTTGCATGTCCAAGCTAGGACAATAACTCGCGGCTCCGTTTCATTGGATTTTTTGAGACACGACACTTTCTATGATAATTTTCTTAAGTTAAGGATATGTTGAAATCCATCCAGAGAAGGCCATAGGCCAAAATTAGTTAATAAATAAGTACGTAGGCAGAATAGAACATCCAATTCGGGGAAATTATGTCCCGACTCTACTATAAATAAAGGCACAAACAGATAATTTGGATGTGATTCTTATTGGGTTGATTACAGGACACAACATGAAAGGCTGTGTACAAGTACATTCTAACTAATCTGACTGGCCAATCTGGAAATCATTTGGGGAGGCTTGTCCAGCAGTGTACTTACGTCTGGCGTCTGAAATGATGAAGATCAAAGAAATTCATCGTAGGTACAGCCCTGACTAACACATCAAACAAAATTATGTTACTTACCTACCAATTGCAAATAGTAACTTATTCACAACATTACAAGATGTCAGAGTTTATTTTCTTTTGCCGTCGTCATTGAAGCCAAAAGGACACATATTCTGATTTCGAAAAAACGTCGTAGCTACTTACTACTTATTTGATGTATTGTTGTAACTATGCAATCTAAACTATTACTATAGGCGAGTATGATAAATGTGGACTCAACTTGCCACCTAGGGGAAGTGCGCACTTTAGGACGTGGGGCGATTCACACCACGCCCGTATCGCACCACGGTGTGAAACGCCTAAGTGTGGTAGTAAACCTTTTCTTTATTCATCGTTTCAGCTTTAAACATTTCCCAGTATGCGTTACAAAGCGCGAATTCCTGCTTTTTAATAAAGACACAGCCAAACTGGCCCTTTCTCTATCTATAAAAATATTTAAATTGGAGTACAATTTAAATGGTTTAGGATTTATTCAGAACAACAAATTATTACATAGATAAATTAGTTATTTTTTAATATATTTTTTTTAATTTTGCTCTCATTATGTTTAATTAAAATATTTTAAATTGTTAAAATATTTTTCAATACTGACACCTTTTCATTTAGGGAAAGCTACCTACATACATTTTTCAGAATATGGAAATCATTTCATTAACCAAAATGGTGTCAAAAATTTTATGAATAGGTATTTATACTGGGGCCTCTACTAGTACCTACTTATTAAATATAATTTTAAATAAGTAAAATATTTGAACTAATACCGAGTACAAAGTACTGTCCGTGGGCGGCTAAAAACATAGTCACGATTGGCGAGGTGATAACTGAGACTTGTTTGAACGGGCAGGCCTTCATGCCTACTCCACCATTCGGCAAATATTATTGTAATATTTATTGAACATAAGTAATATTAGAGGTGCTAGAAGAAAATTACTGAAATACAGACCTGAAACTTTTTAAAACATCATTTTCTATCTGCCGAAATTTGCTGTACAGCATTGGTTCCCAAACATATTTGAGACGCACTGCCTTTCGACCATACAAAAAATTCCGCGCCCCCCCTCCTCCAGTCAAGACTATTTATTGGTCGTATCGAGCAGTCTGGAATGGATTCTCTCAGCGGTCGCAGGTTTTTTATACTTAAGTACACAGATGGCCCGCGCCCCCTTTAAAGGTCTTTGCGCCTCCCCTGGGGGGCGCGCCCCCCACTTTGGGAAACAATGCTGTACAGTATGGTGAAAACTTATTTATCGATTTTAACTTATTTATTTATTTAAAACTTATTTATTTATTATTATTTATAAACTCTGAAAACAGGGTTTTATTACGGTGAATTAGTTTAGCAACCACAACATAGAAAGGAAGGGTCAACTGAAATAGGTAGTTAGAGGTAGAGTAACTAAAATACCTTTAAATCATTTAATAGATAGAGTCAAATCGTCGGTTCGTTCGTTTCAGCCGAATGACGTCCACTGCTGGACAAAGGCCTCCCCCTAGATTTCCCCAACGCCCGGTCCTGCGCCGCCCGCATCCAGGCACCTCCCGTGACCTTTACCAGATCGTCGGTCCACCTAGGAGGCCTGCCCGCATTACGTCTTTCGGCTCGTGTCGCCACTCGAGAACTTTTCTGCCCTAGCAGTCATCAGCTCTGCGAGCTATGTGGCCCTTCTGCGGGCTATGTCAGTCACTTTGGTCAAATAACTTCCATGATTGCCTACAGAAATATCCATCATCATTATGTCATTCTGTGAAACGTAAACCTCACCCTGATTTTCAAGCAGAAATTGTAACAAATTGCTTTGGAAGCACTACAAATATTACAATCAAAGGGAGCACCCAAAAGCACCGATTCAAAGGTGGAGGGAAATTGCTTATTACTTTATTCGACGAAAATACAGACGAGAGCACATCAAGCTTACACTGTGACATCTTGTGTAGTTGTAATAGGGGTTAATTTGCAACAAAAATGTAAAGCTTAATGTGATGTCCGTACCTCGCGTGCCGATCGTCCGTTATGTTTGAACCCGACCTTCAGTAGTACTTACTATTAGCTATTAGTTTACTATGCTTTAGCCATGTTAATGAGGAAATACCATGAACAATGGTTGATTGACAGCTGAAGCTGATGGGTCGCTCGAAATAAATCACTGAGAACCATGGCTATTATGAAATTCGATTGATTTTACGGCCGTTTCCGTCATAAATTAAACTGACCTCTTCGACTTTCAAGAAGTCCTACTAACGGAATACACCCTCTAGCTAGAGAACTGAAACAAAAAGAGCAAGTCTCTGGCATTCCTGGACTGGACTGGATTCAAATTGATTTTAGCAATAGCAATTGATTATAATACCTATTGCAAAAAAAAATGTACTAAATCTGTAGATATGAATTCGTTCTGAACTTACAAATGAACATAAGCATAATAATATAAAGCGTCTTAGTACCTGCGCTTTCCCATAAAAACTAAATAGGTAGGTAGGCACACTGGCATAACACTTACGATGATTGTTATGGAGTCGCTGCTTGTATAAGAAATGAAATAATAAAAAATAAGTACTAGCAGGTGGACAAGCAATTTGTGGGGCAAATCAACGATCAATATTCAACGCGTAACGTGCGGACTGTTTCAACTAATGTTTTGCTATTTTATGCTATGCAGTTTTGCTAATCGATCAATTCTTCTACCACACTTTCGCAATAATGATGCAGCTCTACAATGTTTATTACGTTACGACCGTTATCGTGTTCGTTCGGGGCGCAAATAAAGGCCCAAAAACCAATAATAATATCGTGTTCGTCATCTATTCAACTTAATCTAATTACCTAAATGGTTAAAAGATTAAAAGGTATCGAATCGGAAGTTCTGCTGGCTTCGATTTCCAAGTGGTAGGCACTTACCTACCTTACACTCATTAAAATTTGTTTTTGTGTAAGATGTCCTAGTTTGGCTAAGACATTTATTGACATCAGAAACCGAAAATACTATTTTTACCATTTTAAAAAACGAACCCTAGAACACTAGTATCAGGGGTCTAACTACAACCACTAAGTAGATCAATGTGACTAAGTACCTAAGTACACTTGGGCATTTTTGCGGTAGCAACATCTTTCTAGCCAAAAAAAAAAAACACGTAACTAAAGTCCATAAAACGCTAATTTTTATCCTAATGCTTACTTATTACTTCAAACAATCAGCATTATTTGGCTAGGAGTTTAAAAACAAATTTTTATCAACAATTGTTAACCTGTGTTACTTAAGGCTGCCGCGACACAAGCACAGCTTAGTGCAGCAGCCGCTAGATAAACAGACTGTACATTTTTTTGCTGGCAAATAAAATACTTTTTACTTTTTTTACTTTTACTTTACCTCTTACATAACCACTGTCCAGTACTTAGGCCTTTGAAATCGGTCGTTTGGAACGAGACGGTCAATAAATCCGAGACCCGTTTACGACCGTGTCGTTAAAATGATAACAAAGAGGTAATATAACTACTGTAATGACCCATTAACAAAACGAGATCACCCTGTAACAAAACATTTTAATTTCATTAACATTAATTCAAAAGAATACGCATAAGCAAGTAAAGTAAAGACGCTGCTTTTTATATTTAATTATACGATTTTTGTTTGTGTACCCAATAGTGTGAAAAAGAAGAAACCGTATAATTAATTTTCTAAAATAATTTCTTATCTCGTTGTGCGGAACCGCGGGATAATGCTAGTATTTTAAAAACATCACATATACTGCCATCTAGTTTTATTATGTATGTAGCTTGATGTATTTAATTCAAAATAGCGCCATCTCACGACATCTCAACGAACTAGGTGGAACGGTTTTGAGGTTATAGCAAAGACAATCATTTTGTTTTTTTAAGGTGCGATCACATCATCGTCTTAATTCGACAAACCTTTGTTTGTGTTCATAATCATCCTTATTGTGTTTTTATAGGAAACAACCAATATTTAATTAAAACCTCTAGGTAGGTACTTTTATCAAATAAAAATTAAGAGACATTTATTACTTACAAGATAATTTCTTTCTATTCTAAACATCTTGCAAAACAAATGTTGTATCGAAACTTTACTTATTTTAGTTTGATGATTCATTTGAAAATTCTTTTGAATATTTTTGGAAAGTTTTGTTTTCCTACCTTCTGAAAGTGGTTTACACATTAATATTTTCGCCACACATTTTTTTGTCTATGCCTCATTCTATTATTTTTTTGCGCCTGCGCACTTGATGGTCTACGCGACATACATAAAATCATTTTGTGGAAAAATTTGAAGTTTGTTGTTATTAGTGACAACCTATAATTTATAATTATTTATGAAAGCTCCTTGCTAATTACCATTCCAAGCGTGAGGCTGGATAATTCTGTGTGATTCGCCCTGGATGCGTTCAGTCACAATTATTCAGTACGAACGAGCGGTGTACGGTAGCCATGGTAGCCATCTTGGAATCGAACAAAGCTTCAGATGTGTAGTTTGTCTGTTTATCAATAATTTTTGTGCATTTTATTGTAAATAGTTTGTATGTTTAGGATATGTACGGAACGTTCGTCCATATGTGTAAATAGCTATGGCAGCGACAAGGAAATTACAAGGTAACTTATCATGTTATCAGGTTAGAGATTGATTGACCCCAACCGATGTAGGTACGTGTTCTAGAGCATTATTGTCAGATTGACGAGTTCTCCACCTTGCTGGAGTCAATGATGATGGCCAGGCCGTTGTTTGGATGCGTCAAATAATGCTGTTGCTAGGAAATATCTCTTGTTTGTGTAATTTGTTATGAATATTGAATGATTGCGCTCTCATACGTGCTTTCACAGTATTCTTGGACATGCAGAAGGCTATTTCGAAACCCTATCTTGCTGCATCGATATTAGTACCGCGTCCACGCACAATGTTTGTCACGCGTGTTGTTGTCACAATAAGAACAGGTTTTTCTTGATCATTAATGCAATTATGTTTGCAGGTGAAATAGACAGGTGTTTAAAAAAAGTAACGGAAGGGGTAGAGACGTTTGAGGACATCTGGCAGAAGGTTCACAATGCTACGAATAGTAATCAGAAAGAGAAGTATGAGGCGGATCTCAAGAAAGAGATTAAGAAGCTTCAGAGGCTACGGGATCAGATCAAATCGTGGATCGCCTCCGGGGAGATTAAGGATAAGAGTACACTTTTAGAATATAGGAAACTAATAGAAACGGTGAGTAAATATCCAATTTGAAAGCAATAAGAAATCAATTAGATATCCATCAAATGTTTCCGATACAATTTTACTATGAATTGTTTACTTGTGGTATTATTGATAATCAACCAGAATGTTGATAACACACAAAAACATCTTAATTAGTTTTTACATTTATTAATTTTACATTTTGATAAAACCAGTTAAATAAACTTGATAAGGTATTTTTCAGAGCATTTACCATGTTATTACCTTTACTATGTAATTAGTAGTGTGAGAGTGCTCATTACTTTTTGCCCATAATCAATTCAGAATTCATTGAATATCGTTGAATAAATAATCTAATTTTTCTTGATAATTCTGTCACTGTTTCTTTCTGCTATGGATTATGTTAACTATAGCTAATTTATGATCCATTATCATTTCAAAATGAATAATTTTCTTATTGGGCAAATCACATAAGGAAACCTATTAAAAACCATAGTTTGCTTAGACTACAATAAGTTTATCCGGTGTTTTAAGATGTTTTCCTCTTCCTTGCATTCTTATTTGATTCATATACCTTAACCAATAGTGTGTATTTTATGTTTATTTCACTGTACCTATAGAAAATGCATTTTATCCCTCATGAATCTAAAATTATCACACAATAACAATAGGCTGGTTGCTGATAATTACCAGGTTAATTTATCTCAGTGGAAATAATGTGTTATTGTATGTTCTTGATTAAGTAAACTAGGCACACATTTAGCTTTTATTTCCTCAAACCTGAAATACAACTTTGTTGACATAAACAACATATTTTGTGCTAGATTAATTGTAGTTTTGTTTAGACACAAAATTTATGCAGAATACTCATACATATTGTTCCAATAATGCCTTATTAATACTAAATATCAGTGTATAACTACTTTCCTGCTCTTTATAATTTAAAAAACATTCTTGTTTTGTAAATAATATGCAGAAAAGATTCCTATGTGTGTCATACCTACTGTTCCACCACATGTGTTAAACTACACATGAAATACTATTTATTTTGTTAGTCATTTACAATAATTTATGCCATTTTTCTAACAGAAAGTTGTTGTTTCAGCAAATGGAGAGATTTAAAGTAGTTGAACGAGAGACAAAAACAAAGGCATACTCTAAAGAAGGGTTAGGGGCGGCACAAAAGCTAGACCCTGCTCAAAAAGAAAGAGAGGAAATGTCTGCGTGGCTGGTCTCGTCTATCGATGCACTTAATTTACAGGTGAGACGCTAAATAATATAGTATGTAACTACTTGACCAAGCATAAATACTAACGGACACTGCTCGGAGTAAAGCCTTATTTGCTAATTTAAAATGTATGAAGTATGCCAAGTGTGGAGCCCACTATTTGATGTTTGGCAGAAAGTCATTCAAGGGCTTAGTCATACATGATAAATAAGCAAATACGTGAATTTTTACATTGAATTGCATTCAGTACAAGTTACAAGAATCTGTAACAGGGTTCATTGCACCGGGGCTGTGTAAAATTCTATGAATTTAGGTGCATTGTATTATTTGTCAGAGTATATTACTGACTAAATTATCGTTTTATTCTTCTGGAAAGGCAAGATGCACTAATCATGTGAACCTAACATTCTGACCTATAGGCGACAGTAATAGATACCTCATAGAGGGTACTCTCATAAAATTACCAATTTTCCACACCAATATATTTTGTAGTGTAGGCACGCAGGGATGTCGGTGAACCGACGACCTGGCGAATGTTGTAGGACGCACCTGGATGCGGGTAGCGCAAGACCAGTCCTTGGGGAAATCCTTGGGGGAAGCCTTTGTCCTATAACGAACGACTTGACCAAAACGACAACTTTTTTATGTAAAGAATATCCTTAACTAGCGGCCGTCCGCGACTTCGTACGCGTGGATCCCGTTTTACCCCCTTAGGGGTGGAGTTTCGTAAAATCCCGTCTTAGTGAGCACCTAAGTTCTAAATGGAAGCCCCATGCAAACTTTGAGACACCTAGCACTTGTAGTTTCCGAGATTTCGTGATGAGTGAGTGAGAAGCTGAAGAGTTTGTTTGTATGTTTACTTGAACACGCTAATCTCCGGAACTACTGGTCCGATTTGAAAAATTCTTTCAGTGTTAGATAGCCCATTTATCGAAAAAGGCTATAGGCTATACAACATCACGCTGCGATCAATAAGAGCAGAGCAAAAAAAAATGTTGCGATAATGGGTTTTTACGCGTACGAATTCGCGGGCATAGCTAGTAGATATATATTTGTATTGCACTATTATAGTCCCACTAACCTTTCATTATTTTGTTGCAGGTTGATCAATTTGAGTCTGAAATAGAGTCAATGGTAGTTGGTAAGAAAAAACGACTGGATAAGGAAAAGCAAGATCGTATGGAGGAGCTGAAACTCAAGCTCGAAAAGCACAGGTTTCACATAAAGAAGCTGGAGACCTTGCTCCGAATGCTTGACAACATGTCTGTAGAAGTCGAACAGGTCTGTCCTAGAAACGATTCCTATATACAACAAGTAAATATGAAATTGAGTATTGTAATTTATATTTAACTTCATATATGTTATGTAATGCTGTGGTAGACAACATCTTTTATTATAAAAAATATTACATTGAGCTTATTAGATAGATAGAATATGTAGACTATTGATAGTAAAAAGATAGCTACTCATACCTATGATATAGGTTGATCATGCTTGCCATCAATAATCTGTGATGGCAGATATCAAGTATTTTGCAAACATAGATTCAGATTAACCATCAATTGAAATCATCCATACATTACACAGCGGATGCCATTTCATTTTATAAAAGATGTTGTTTATCAGTGTGCAAAATGCATGTTTATGTTTCATGAAAAATACCTAATTTCACTACCATAAAAAATGAGGTCCGTGCCTCGTAGAATGTTTAAAAACACGACTGCTAAGGTCGATAAGGTTGCTTCCGTTCTTTGTGCGCCCGGTGATATTATGGTAATAATTTTCTAAAGTAGTTTCCTACTCATAACTCAATATATGTTTCTCTTGTTAAAAGTAATATAATTAATTTATAATTACTATCAGTCCACGTGATATGCACTAAAACAATGACGCGTGTTTGAAAATGCGTCCCAGATAACTGTCGATCTCTCTCTTTTATTATACCGTAAGAGCGAGAGGTGATTACAACTACTTCATTCAAATCCCATTTTTATCAGCTTGCACTCGCACCTGAGTCCTATCTTTTTATTATTGTCTGGAAACAGCTGTAGTCATTCTGTTGTGTTTATCACTTGGTGTTGTGCTCTGCAACGGTGTAGGAAGTCGTAATATTGTGTTGTAGCAGTTCTATATATTCTAATATTTGTGTGAGTAGAAATAGTATTAAAATATCTATTAATTGGATAATTTACTAAGATTATATTCACTTAGTTCCTTCATAGAGGCATGAGGCATGTAAATGATAACAAATTAAAAAATATTAATAATATCAAATAACTATCCCATCATATCATCACTAGTTTGTGTGTCCTAGATGTGTGATCGTTACTCTACGGAGTCATTCAAGATTGATCTGTTTTGTTCCAGATACGAAGGATAAAAGAGGATGTCGAATATTATATAGACTCGTCTCTAGAGCCAGGCTTCGAGGAGAATGAGTACATATACGATGATATTCGAGGGTTAGACGAGATTGAACTGAGCGGCGTGGGCTTGCCTTCGTCTGCTACCACGGATAGTAATAATAGTAACGATTCGGGAGGATCGCCCACTAGTATGCTATCAGGTGAGCATTTTGATTATCAACCCTGACTGACAGACCACTGACTTTTAGGCCCAGAACACACGGTGAAACGCAACTGCAACGAAACTGCAACTTTCTAGTTACTTTTGAATTGCATCTAAGTTTCTGCCATAGATTCCATTGAGAGACCACACATGATGCGACCAGTTTGACCTGTTCAAATCGGTTTCAAACTGGTTGCGTCATGTGTGGTCTCTCAACGGACGTTATGGCAGAAACTTAGATGCAACTCAAAAGTAACTAGAAGTTTCAGTTTCGTTTCACCGTGTTTTCTGGGTCTTTGTCGGCCGAAAGTTGGGCCCGATTCTAATTTGTATGAAGAATCGGCCGATACCAAATCGGTGTAATTTGCGCACTCTCATACATCTCCATACTGATTAACAGCCCGGGCTAGGCTTAGCCTAACCACAGACTACAGACGATAGTTGGGTCGGACTGTTAATCAGTATGGACGCGTATGAAAGTGCGCACATTACACTGATTTGGTATCGACCGATTCTTCATACAAATTAAATCGGGCCCAACTATCTATCGGTCAACTAAAAGTTGGTGGTCTGCGCCTAGGTTTAATAACAGTGTATGTATTTCATACAATACTATCAATACTATTCTAATTAGAAGATAAACTATAAGGCAAATAGGAAAAAAATTAACCTTCCTATACAGATTTCCACAACCAGTGTTGTATAGTTCGCGCCCTATTGTTTGACTATCGTGGCTTTCTTGTGGACAGTGTAAAGGTTAAGATAATATTAGCTACAAGACAACACAGTCAATGGCATCCACATGCATCGGTCATTCGTCTATGAGAAAAATCACTAAAATGTTCAATGAAATCCACAAACTATTGTAGATTGCACACAGATTTTACTTCAATAATTCTGGTCAGCGTAGGGAGTGTAGGACAAATCCTTCCTTTCGCCTCTGGTCATTTAGAGATACAACCCGGTCTAGTAAACTGCGCACCTCATCGGAATGCGATTCCCTCGCACTCACCCGCACACCTCCCCGCGCTCGCTCCGTCCGTACCACAGCGTCGATGTGACGTCACGGGAGCTTGGTGCGCAGTTAACTTGACCTGGCTGTAATTACTAAGGTTCATCATCATTATCATCTCAGCCATAGGACGTCCACTACTGAACATAGGTCTCCCCCAATGCTTTCCATGTTCCCCGGTTGGTAGCGGCCTGCGTCCAGCGCTTTCCTGCTACCTTTATGATGTCGTCGGTCCACCTTGTGGGTGAACGTCCCACGCTGCGTTTACCGGTACGCGGCCTCCACTCCAGAACATTACTGCCCCATCGGCCGTCAGTTCTGCGTACTATGTGCCCTGCCCATTGCCACTTCAGCTTGCTAATCCGTCGGGCTATGTCAGCGACCTTAGTTCGTTTACGGATCTCCTCATTTCTGATTCGATCTCGTAAAGAAACACCGAGCATAGCCCTCTCCATAGCACGCTGTGCAACTTTGAGCTTCCAAGGTTCCAAGGTTCAAATAAATAAATAAATAATGTGAAATTTGTTTCCAGGTACAACAAGTCCAATCACGTCGCCAGCGCTAGAAGTCCACAATCACTCAACAGACTCCATAGACGTAGAAAAGAAAAAGAAAGAGGAAGTCATTGCGAAAGTGAGTGTACACCCGTCCCGCTCGCTCATCATTCCATTACACCTCAGTTTACCATCAAACTTCAATTTTAATGTTGACTGTAGTTATGTGGAGTGTTGATGTGGATAATTTTCAAAATTTTATACCTTACATCGGTTACTTTTGGGTTCGTTTTTCTCTATTCAGTAATAACAATAACGCACTTTATAAATCTGTTTCAATCATAAATAACAAAAGATAAGCTGTGACGTGGTATTGTTTACATCTATCGTGGCGTTATAGTATTTTATTTTTGCCCTGACTAAAAATACCTTGATAATGTTGACCTGACCTTTAATGTAATTAAGTTGGTATGTCCGTTGACTCTCATTATTATTTATTTTCTATAATATTTTAGTTGATTAGTCTAATTTAATATTGACATTTGACCACAGCCACAGTTGCAATTCTTTAAAATGGAATGAAAAACTCTTTTATCAATCACAATCCTTTCAATACCTCAACTTCAAATTTGCGCAATTACTCTGTAAAACGTATCGGTATTTGAGGCTATATCCATCTCTTTCTAACGCTAAATACTAGTGCGGGCGAAAGAGATAGCCGAGACTACCAGCAACTCTTGCAAATCAGACTGGCATTTAGGTTTTCAACGTAGATTTCTTCTATAAATCCCAAACGAACCCGAAACTAATCCGTTTCACCATAGTAAATGATGTTTGTTGTATTGCAGCCGGTTAAGCCGATGGCGCTTCGGGCCGCCACGGCGGTGGTCGGCAATAGCTCGCCTAACGTTAGTTCCTTGCTCAATAACTCCGCAGCATCGACCAATAGGTCAGTCCACTGGCAGTTATCAATCTTATTTACGAGAACAATTTCCAATAGTAGCTTGGGAGAAAATTTTGTGATGTTTTGGACACGTTTTGCTATAGTTTTCTGAGGCTCACGTCTTCATAGTAATAGGTTTAACACTCATAGAAGCGCGCAGCTAGGAACGCTCAAATAGCTGCTAAAGTCCGGTCGCCGAGCACATAGAATTTCGTCTAATGACCCCAAGCTACCCATCCTTATCGCTCGCGCGTAATTATATTGCTGTCGCGCTCGCACACTCACTGCGGCCGCCCGTCGCACAGTCGCGACAATAATATAATTTCGCGCGAGCGATACGGATGGGTGGGTAGCTTGGGGTCATTGGACGAAATTCTATCTGCTCGGCGACCGGACCTTACCAATCATTTTAAAAGTATGTTATTCACAATATTACATGGCACGCAAGGCGCACAGTTTTGTTAAATGACCCGTCGTCTTATACAATTATTGCAGTTTTTGAGCACACTACTAATTACTCGCGTTCCTATCTGTGCTCTTCCATAAGTGTAAAATGAACAATACATACTGACTCGTATTCGGTTGCGGTATGCGGTGGGGGAAGGGAAATGGGAGTGTCCAATAGGCCACGCCTCCCATGACCACCTCCCCACGGCTATTACTGCTGAATGCGACTTTATGTAATGGTAATAGGGTTTACAAGTTAAAACTGTTTTCTAATGACAAAGCAGTAACAGATAATAAGTAACGCTTAGTTTTTCTGAAAGAGAATAATGTTTGCTTTTGCGTATACTAGGCTTATTATGGATTTAGTAAAGTCAATAATATTTTGGTATGAAAAAGTATGTCTTGCATTAGCTTTTGGGCTTAGTGGGTTCGTTTTTGCATGTAACCATCGATTTGGAAACTTCCAATTGGAATGTTAAATTATAAATAACTTTTGAAAATTGTTTGTAACTGGATGTTTAAAGAAAAGTCACTAGGTGAGGGTTTACTACATCTAACCAAAATCATCATGGAATTTTCTCATATTTTTCTAATAAATAAAACATTAGAAATTGTTCTTGACAATCTAAAATTTATTTCGATCTGTAATATATCCACATTTTAAATGGAAGTAAAATGATTGTCATCATCTTGCTTCCATTTGTACTGCACGTCTTTTTGTTTTATCGCATGATAACTTTGCTATTTTCACGTTTTCCATACTTCAATTGAAACTCAAAATATTGAAATTGAAGTAGATTTTTGCATTCATTTCATTTTTATCGATTATTTTTATTCATCAACGCTTTACAAGACTGTTTGATCGTATGTTATTGTTGGTGCAATGACTTGGCAATAAAATAACTTTTGTCTATGAATTCTATGTAACCTTGCTGAAGTCACAATGGGTTATAAAGTAGCTATTCATGGAATTAACTGTCTTAAACCTGGCGGAACCTGTGTAAAGCATAATCCGCGCATGGATGTCCGCATACTGAAGCTGTTTTGTGGAAAAACTTAGAACATCGTTACGTTGCTGACAATAGTGACCTGAGTTTCGGAGCTGTTTTGTGGAAAAACGTAGTACACCGTTCCGATGCTGACAGTGACCTGAGTTTCTTGCGCTGCTTCTCAACACTGGCCTATTTTTGTCCCGAAGCAGCGGTAAGGAAGTAACACTGGGACGTGTAAAAGCTCTTTTTAAAATCCTATTTGTAAAATAATAGTTTTATGAGTTGTGTAGGCCATCCAGCTCGTGGTGTTCGTCATTTTTCCATAAAACAGATGCGCACGTGGAGGTCCGCTGCACGCAGTGGTAGGACTTAGACCGCTTTCACGTAAAGGCGTCAGAAGCGCGACAGCAGCGAACTCTTGCCTTCACATTGTAGGCGCTGTCGTATATTATGAAATAATCATTGACTTCAAGAGCGCTTTCACATTAGGGCGTTAGTAGCGCGACTGCAGCGTGGCAGAGGCGTTTTTATAATGTGAAGGCATGCATCCGCTGTCACATAGTATGAAATTTTCGGCAGCGCGTCAGTCGCGCGTTTGTCGCGCTGCTAAATCGCCTAAATGTGAAAGCGCTGTTGAAGTCAATGATTTTATTTATTCAATCAATCGAATTCAAAGTTCCAATAGTTAAAAGACCCCACCAGAATTACCCAAGTCATTGAATAAACCTTACTAGACCAAAACGATCAAGCATTCTTCCCGACCGTATCACCAGAGTAAATACAAATGAGTAGGTCATCTTCATAGAAACGCACCGAGCGCTGTTTGTATGTGAGCGCGCCAATATAATATGCGGCGCGCACGCACACACTGACAAAATTCGGCGCAACCACAAATACATAATCCCCGCAAAATTTTGTCAGTGTGTGCGTGCGCGCCGCATACGTGTTGGCGCGCTCACATACAAACCGCGCCCGTGCGTTTCTGTGAAGATGGCCTACTCATTTGTATTTACTCTGGTATCACCGTCGCTCGCGAAGCTCACAGTCTCATGTAACTATCGTTACAGCATAAGCAACTCGGGGCTTTCGGGCGCGTCGACGCCCAGCAAGCAGCCGCCACCCAGCCCGCCGCACGCGCCGCATGTCCGGCAGCCTAACAACACTGGTGAGTTATAATCTTTGATTGGTGGCCAATGAGGGCTATCGTTTTAGCGCTCACCAGTTAGCGCCACTGTAGAGTAAGCTCCTGTCACTTGCTAAAGCCTGGTCCGTGAGCACGTAGAATTTTGTCCAATGACCACAAGCCACCCATCCTTATCGCTCGCGCGTAATGTTGCTGTCGCGCTCGCACACTCACTGCGGGCGCCCGTCGCACAGTCGCGACAGCAATATAATTACGCGCGAGCGATAAGGATGGGCTTGGGGTCATTGCACAAAATTCTACGTGCTCACGGACTAGGCTTTAGTAGCGAAGACAGTGGCACCAACTGGTGAGCGCTAAAGTGGTAGGAGGACTATCGCATTTGCACTCATCAAGATGGCGCCACTGTAGAGTAAGCTCCTGTCAATCGCCAGGGGTGCCAAGGGGTATAAAAACGATAGCCCTCATTGGCCGTGATCCATAGATGTCAACAATCCTCAATCAGTAGCCCCAGAATGCGCGCCATTTTCTATGTTAAAAAAAAAGTTTTCTGATTAAAAAAATAAGATTTTATCAAGCCGCGTATCCTAGTCCGACAGGCTCATGAACTACGCTAGGACTTGATCTGTGATTGGTACTTGGTACTTGGTAATTGGTTTGAAGCTTTGAAGAAGAATGTAATTTTATTTGAAGCAACATTTTCTGGAAAGTTTCTTCTTCCTAAAACTGACGTAATGGCTATCATCGTACGAGTACTTTAGTATTTGCACGTCATTGACGCCCAGTGAAATTATACTTTTTAAACTAACTCAAAAATAACCCAGTACAAAAACAAAATAGAATAACGTTCGAAAACGTAGTCGATCGGCTAATCGCATAAACAAACACGTTAATTAGCGAACACTATCAAATCCGCCAGGCAGATAACGTTACGGCGCATTGTTTACAAAATAAACCGCGTTATCAGCCAGTGAATGGAGCGACATTCGCCAGTCGTCACGACAGCGAATGAGCCATTGGCGCCAATCCAAAGTTTTACAAACCGCGGGCTTGGCGCCATGCCAGCGCGACATGGCGACTCAGTCTCAGTCTTGCCAGGCTGTATGAGCGGACGACCTGCGTCTAACTTTAGAGGGAAACCAGAAAAACAATGCTTTCCCGCCCAAATGACGGATAAAATATGGACGATGGTAAAGAAAACTGAACGTTGAGTGTGCATGAGTTTTACAAGTTTTTTCCATGGCGTACGAATACGAAATGATCCGGTATGTGTTGTTGTTGCGTAGTTCCTTGTTTTTATACATTCCTCGCTAAGTTCAATGCTGATTATGTAATAACGTTTGAAGGACAGCGATGCGGATTGTTTGTTGTGAACTGTTTACTTTGAAAAAAAAGGAGAATTCTATTGTTTGTGTGTGATCACGTGACGTTTGACAAATGTTCGCGCAGCAACAAAAGGTTTGCATCGCTGGAAACTTATCTGACCTAGTTAATTGTTGGCGTAAACAACAGAATATTGCAAATTGTAGGTTAATTACGGCGTAGGTCACGTAAGTTTGTATTTTCATGTTGTAACTAAAATTTAATATGGTTGTTATGGTTTTTTATCAATAAAGTAGCTGGAATAAAGAGTCAAACGTATTTTTTACTGATGAAAGAAAGTTTAAAAATAAAATCCAAGACAAAACGTGAGTCACGGACGATGACGTTTAGTGCATTCGCGCGTAATTGACTCAAATCCAAACAACTGAGTCAATTCATACACAACTTTGGTTTGAAGAGGAAACGATTTAACACCGTTATTTATTTTCATCTTCCTTATTACCACACTCTTTATGTTTATGATGCTATATTTGTCAAGAATGAATATTGTGTAATTAATACATAATTGTAGTAATCGTACTAATATTATAAATGCGAAATTTAGATGTCTGGATGGATGTTTGTTACTCTTTCATGAAAAAACTACTGAACTGATTTTGATGAAACTACAGTATTATTCTTTATAACCCAGAATAACATATAGGCTATAATTTATGACGATCTGTGACAAACTAAATTTCACGCGGGTGAAGGCGCGGTCAAAAGCTAGTATTCAATAAATATTCTTGGGCGCTTTACATAGCACCATCTATTATAGCCCTTAAACTAAACAAAGCTCGTCCTATGACATAGTAGTAACTACTAACATACAAACATACTAAAGCCACCTTTTTATTTTTTTCACAAAAATGTATTTAAGTATGTTTGTATCCGTTTTCTAATACGCACAGTACAAGCTTTGCTTAGTTTGGGGCTACAGGCGTAGTGTAAAATGTTCAAGGATATTTATTTATTATTACTTGTAAATAAATTCATGCATATAATGCCTACTGATATAATTATGTAAAAATACTGTCTCACTTCGAGCACAAAACACTTAAAACCACATCCTCATCCGTTCTGCGGTTTTTACACAAGAGCGAGCGACATGTAAATTTTTCACACATGTCCTAAACAGTTGCTATCGCGTATTAAATTACTATAAAGTGTAAACTATCCTCTGCGGTCAATAACGTGGGCAAGTCAATGACATGTGTACTACTAATGTGACTCACGGTCTCCCCTTGCGGGTTGGCTATATAAAGTTGATGACGGTATGTCAAGCTACGCAATTTGTCGTCGTATGTAGTTGAAATAACGGCGATATTGTAAAAATATTTAGATTGATGGGCTTTTGTGCAAATGTTTGTCTCGAAGCGCTGGTAGGGCAAAAAAAGAATGAGACAAGTATAGGCTCCTTAAGAGCATTTGACGATTTGTAAGTACTAATTTAATTAGTCTATACAAACAAAGATAATTTTGATTTGATTTGATTTGACTGTATATTTACTACTAGAGGAAGGAAAACTCCAGCTTTACTCTAGAATCTAACATGCTAGGTTATTTAATTTAACTCTTATGTTTCTAAAGACTGGTCCGTGAGCACGTAGAATTTCGTCCAATGACCCCAAGCCACCCATCCTTATCGCTCGCGCGTAATTATATTGCTGTCGCGACTGTGCGACGGGCGCCCGTAGTGAGTGTGCGATGGGTAGCTTGGGGTCATTGGACAAAATTCTACGTGCTCACAGACCAGGCTTTACTATTTTAAGTTTTTTTCCAATTATTTATTTGAACTGTAAAATAAGTTATAAGAATTTTTAAGCCAGCTTTTGTAAATCATTTTTTTTTAACACAGCAATATGCATAAATAAATATGTACTAATATGCCAATTTGTAATCCAAACTTAAGAAACCTACAATCCGGTCGAGTCAACTGCGCACCTCGCCGGAATGCGACTCTCCCTCGCACTCTCCCGCACGTCTCCCCGCGTTCGTACCAGTGTCGATGTGACGTCACGGCCCCCAGGTGCGTAGTTAACTCGTCCGGGTTTTAATCTGTTGTTTGGTGTCTAACGGTCCGAAGGGCTTTGGTTCTTCTCAGGGATGTTATGGATATCCGTAACCGAAACTTTCGGATATCCGAAATAAAAAATATCCGAAACCGTAACCGATTCAAAAGTTTCGGATAGTTTCAGATGCAAGCAGTTTAGTGTTTTTTGTATAGGATTATATTTAAAGGCATAACAGCCTGATTTACCTTTATAATGCCATCTAGTATCAATTCTTATTTTTTTATTTTTTTTTATTCGATGTAAAGTGTGCGGCCATGAATGAACCGTGTTGGACAACTATTGCAAATTGCATTCTAAAACACAGATATCCGTAACCGAAACATTCGGATATCCGAAATAAAAAATATCCGTAACCGTAACCGAAACCGGTATAATATTATTCCTATATCCGTAACCGTATCTATAACCGAAACTACATATCCATAACATCCTTAGTTCTTCTCACCTGTAGGCCTAAGATGCGCGCCGCGATAAGCGGTTATCACGCCATTTTATCGATTTTGCCCATACATTTTGACGTCGATAAAAGTTATCACGGCGCGCATCTTAGGCCTACTGATTGGCAATATTTTTGAGCCTCTTTGCGCGCGAATTTAAATGCAATTTTCACGATCCATTTACGACTGGGCGCGTTTGTTGTTGCAGAAGTAGTGGAGAATGGTCCCGTGTCGAGTGCGCCTGCGCACACGCCGCACTTACCGCCGCCTGTTCAACCTGTGCCGGTGAGTTGTTATTATTTGTAGAAAACGAGGTCAAGGTGGACGGACGACTTCATAAAGGTAGCAGGAAGATGTGGATGCAGGCTGCTACCAATCGGCCAATCTTCAAATCATTGGAGGAGGCCTATGTTCAGCAGTGCACGTCCTGTGACTAAAATGATGATGAGGATGACATTAGAAATTATAGATAATCCACAGCTGGACAAAGGCCTCCCCCTAAGGATTTCCAAAACGACCGGTCTTGTGCTGCCCGCATTCAGGTTCTTCCAACGACCTTCACCAGATCGTCGGTCCATCTAGTGAGGGGCCTGCCCAGGCTTCGGCGCCTCGGCGACCAGCCTCAGCCGCTCCAGCTCACCCGGGCGCCTGAGCCTCGTTACAGCGGGCGAGGGCTGCCCTCCCTCCGCGCCTCCGGCTTTTAAATTACACTCTAGGGGTAGGGCAGACAAGACTACGTGGAGTCGGTTTTGCAGCGCTTCGTTTCTGTCACGTTAGTTTTGTGGCACAAAATATTGCCTGTTTTGGACCATTTCAAATTAATTTAATGTTAAAATACGATTTAATACGAATATAGACATCATGATTTTCAATAATATGGATAAATACACTTATGAGTAATAAATTTATGAAAACACGTATTAGGATACATGACATTTATGAATATTATAGTTATTTATTCGAATGATTATGAATTTCGATCATTAGTATAGAAAAATATATGAAAACAAATATTAGTAAGAACTAAGTGTATGATTAGTGATATTATGAATATCAATGATTATGTTTTTAAATATTTAGGTTTTAAATTTTTTATGAAGAATGATCATTATGGTATCAAATTGTATGAGAAATATTTTCGGACCTCCAATGATAGGAATAGAAAAGTTATGTAAGAAAATGCGCTACCGGTGGTAGTACACATGAAAGTAATTACAAGAAAAATATAAATGAAATTTTAACAACTACTTTATAAGTAAAAAACCTTGTTCAAAAAGTCTTCTTTCGACTTTCGAGATCCCGCGTACCCTATTACACCACCGATGACATGCGGCCGCCTCCCCGAGAGAGCGGGACTGACCGATAGCTCGTCCGCATAATAATACCAGGCCTGTTCATCTCCGCGATTTTACATCGAAAACAAAACACGCACGATGGCCCACCTACAGGATACTATTCGACAAGGCCTCACATACGAGCGAACATTGACTCACGCACGCGTATTCTTGTGTATGATGGAAGAAAATAAAGAAAATGGTGTACTAAATACTGTGCAGTATTTAACTTCCTAAATAATAATAAAAACACAGAATGTTCCTTTTTAAGTTGCCTCAAGACACAGAGGTAAATAAGTAGAGTTAATATTATTCATGATAATTCATGCTATAGTTCCAAAATACTGAACTGTCCTATGCCTGACATTGACAGTGGGGCGCCACCGTCAATACCGGATCGCTAGTTCCGATTTTTGCCATGTTAGAAACCATATAGTTGAACGATGGTAGCGCCCCCCTGTCATTGAGTTTGGTGGGACAGTTCAGTGTGGGTCATCTATAAATCATGTATTTCCTCCGCCATTTTCCGCAGTTTGGCACCTCACGTCACATCATTTTGCCGAAGTCAGCCCTGTAGCTTCGGCGCAGTGCCGATCACTGACGTTTGTCAACAAAATGGTGCTTGACTCTTGAGACAGGCTAAATTACACCATATTGTTAATGACATTGAGCATACATTTTTTTAAATACCTTCGCGAAGTAAAACTTCTGTACGTAGTATTTATTATTATTCTGTGATAATACCATTTTTCTGATTTCATGGATTTTTCCATTATTTTTTTAATTTTTTTTAACATCAGTGTCGTTTATTCTACCAACCCTGAGATGGCCGTTGTTTTACAAAACCACGCCCTGAATTGGTTTCAAAAGTTACTAATAGCCAAGATGAAGCTAATGATCCCTTATTTCCACCAGACGTCAAAGAGTTCAGCGGTGACGTTGATTCCCAACTCGACGCCGACCAGCGCGGCGCCCGCCCTGCCGCCCGCGCCCGCGCCCGCGCCGCCCTCGCCGGCGCCGTTAGCTCTCAATGGACCCACGTTACACCACCACGCACTTAACAAGTACGTATGGACATAGGACATTTGTACTTGTAAATACAGTCTAGTTTTGCTAGACAGCACCATTGACATATAACTCCGTCTGCGAGCACGTAGAATTTTGTCCAATGACCCCAAGCTACTCATCCTTATCGCTCGCGCGTAATTATATTGCTGTCGCGACTGTGCGACGGGCGCCCGCAGTGAGTGTGCGAGCGCAACAGCAACGTAGTTACGCGCGAGCGATAAGAATGGGTAGCTTGGGGTCATTGGACGAAATTATACGTGCTCGCAGACCAGACTATAGCGTCATCGTTTCGCCAGTGTTCTCGCAGCTTGCGCTCAACGAGCCCACGTCGCATCACCACGCGCCCAAAAAGTACGTATAAATATGGGACACGTGCGCGTAAAACGTCATAAAATAAGGAATACAAGTTGACGCTACTGGTGAATACAGCCATTCGCCAGTAGTGTTACGTCAGCTTAAGATTAGTCAGTGAGAAAACTAAGCAAAAAGCAGTGAGGTAACGTTGATCCCAACTCGACGCCGACCAGCGCGGCACCCGCCCTGCCGCCCGCGCCCGCGCCCGCGCCGCCCTCGCCGGCGCCGCTAGCTCTCAATGGACCTACGTTACACCACCACGCACTCAACAAGTACGTATAAAGGACAGTAACCGCTGCCAGACAGCATAATTGACTTCTAGATACCACTCACACTGGTGCTCACACCATACGCTCAACAAGTACGTATGGATATGGGACATTTGTACTTGTAAATACAGTCTGGTTTTTCTAGACAGCGCCATTGACATAGGTACCGCCGTCTTTGAAGCGTTGTCGTCTCGCCTAGCGCTCTCGCCGCTCGCGCTCAATGGACCTGCGTTACACCACCATGCGCTCAACAAGTACGTATGGATATGGGACATTTGTTATTGCAAATACAGTCTGGTATTGCTAGACAGCACCATTGACATAATAGTCCCCACTAAAACCCGGTCTGCGAGCACGTAGAATTTTGTCCAATGACTCCAAGCTTACTCATCCTTATCGCTCGCGCGTAATTATATTGCTGTCGCGACTGTGCGACGGGCGCCCGCAGTGAGTGTGCGAGCGCGACAGCAACATAGTTACGCGCGAGCGATAAGGATGGGTAGCTTGGGGTCATTGGACAAAATTCTACGTGCTCGCAGACCAGACTATAGCGTCTTTTGAGCGTCATCGTTTAGTCAGTGTCCTCGCAGCTTGCGCTCAATGGGCCCACGCCGCATCACCACGCGCCCAAAAAGTACGTATGCACGTATTCTTATAGGGGCTCCCCGCGAGCCGAGACACATTATGTCGTTAAGGACGAGGCAGCCGTTCGGTCTGAGGCTGCGTCTAGTAGATACGCGATCATTGACATATCTCTCACACTGGTGTCTTCGAGCATCGTCTCGCCAGCGACGACAACGCTGGCTCAGCGAGGCCGCAACGCAACAAGTACGGTAAGCTATGCGGGTGACGTGCTGCACGCTCCGTTGCACCACCACGCGTTCAACAAGTACGTATGGATATGGGACACGTGTGCATCACGTGCACGTTACGCTACACTTACGGCCGGTTCACACATGACTCCGTTTTACTGTTCCCTTTTATCGTGTACGTTTTTTTCGTTGATGGCGTATGTAGTTGTATGAGCGACTTCACACACATGACACAGTATTCTGTATACAGTAATACATACATTGTGTGGTGGAGTGGTGGTTTTAAACATCTGTCTGCGTTTCTCGCTCGATATTTAGCTCGCTGAAATGCAGAATATCCTGTACTTACTGTTCGTTTGTTCGTTTCCAGTGGGCGAGTGAGCGAAGCGTCGACGGCGAGCGCGGCGTCGAGCACGGCGCGCGCGGCCGACGCGGGCGGCACCGCCTCGCTCAAGAGCATGGCGCAGGAAGCCGTCCAGCGGGCGGGGCTCGACGCGCCGCACCAGGCGAGTGTTGTTGTAGGCCCGGCGAGCGAGCGAGGCCGCCCGGCGAGTGAGCCAGGAGGCCCGGCGAGTGTTGTAGGCCCGGCGAGCGAGCGAGGCTGCCCGGCGAGTGAGCGAGGCCGCCCGGCGAGTGAGCGAGGCCGCCCGGTGAGTGAGCGAGGCGGCCCGGCGAGCGCGACTTGCTCAAGAGCATGGCGCAGGAGGCCGTGCAGCGAGCGGGGCTCGACGCGCCGCACCAGGCGAGTGTTGTTGTAGGCCCGGCGAGCGTTGTTGTAGGCCCGGCGAGCGAGCGAGGATTCCCGGCGAGTGCGACATCACTCGGGAGCTTTGCGCAGTGCGCTGGACTCGACGCGCCGCACCAGGCGAGTGTTGTTGTAGGCTCGAGGAGTGAGCGAGGCCGCCCGGCGAGTGAGCGAGGCCGCCCGGCGAGCGAGCGAGGCCGCCCGGCGAGTGAGCGAGGCTTCCCGGCGAGCGCGGCCTCGCTCAAGAGCATGGCGCAGGAAGCCGTGCAGCGCGCGGGGCTCGACGCGCCGCACCAGGCGAGTGTTGTTGTAGGCCCGGCGAGCGAGCGAGGCCGCCCGGCGAGTGAGCGAGGATTCCCGGCGAGTGCGACATCACTCGGGAGCTTTGCGCAGTGCGCTAGGCTCGACGCGCTGCACCAGGCGAGTGTTGTTGTAGGCCCGGCGAGCGTTGTTGTAGGCCCGGCGAGTGAGCGAGGATTCCCGGCGAGTGCGACATCACTCGGGAGCTTTGCGCAGTGCGCTAGGCTCGACGCGCTGCACCAGGCGAGTGTTGTTGCAGGCCCGGCGAGTGAGCCAGGCGGAGACGTCCTGGCGAGTGAGCGAGGCCGCCCGGCGAGTGAGCGAGACGTCCCGGCGAGTAAGCGAGGTGTTCTAGCTAGTGAACAAGGCTTCCCGGCGAGTGCGACATCACTCGGGAGCTTTGCGCAGTGCGCTGGGCTCGACGCGCCGCACCAGGCGAGTGTTGTTGCAGGCCCGGCGAGTGAGCGAGGCCGCCCGGCGAGTGAGCGAGGCGGCCCGGCGAGCGCGGCCTCGCTCGAGAGCATGGCGCAGGAAGCCGTCCAGCGCGCGGGGCTCGACGCGCCGCACCAGGCGAGTGTTGTTGTAGGCCCGGCGAGCGAGCGAGGCCGCCCGGCGAGTGAGCGAGGCGGCCCGGCGAGTAATCTATGTCGCCGCGAGTAAGCTACGTCCCGGCGAAAGCGAGACGTCCTGGCGAGTAAGCGACACGTCCCGGCGAGTAAGCTATGTCGGACAATAACTCGCAGTTCCGTCCAAAAGATTGGAGGACACCGTCTGGTTTTAGTGAGTAGGCCCTGCCCATTTGGCAGGGAGAACCTCACATAATCCACTGGTTCTCCCGGGCCAGTGGGTATGCAGTTTCATGCATTTACTGACAAAAAAAGGCCTTAAACGCAACGATAATGAGTATGACTAGTCTTAATAATGTTGTTTCTCATTGCAGAACGTGCGGAGAGGCGTGTCTGTTGCGCAGGCGCACATTCCGCCGTTATTAGGCGTCGCGCCACTAGGGCCGTTACCACTTACTTCTGTGAGTACCTATTATTATTTTTAATATTTCTAATTTTTATACATAGCTCAGTAAAAGTCAACAAGTTTAGGGACCCCCCACACACGTCTGTCGAGTAACAAAAGGGTTGCGTTACTTGTCTGAAAAAAAAAAACGTTTGAAACGTACCGCGAGACGACAACGTTTAAAAGACTAGTGTGGGAAAGCCAAAAAATTTTTCAGTTGAAATATAGATCATTTCATCCACGAACACGCGCCCTACCATTCTTCCGCTAATGTTTGACTGTCATTAGTACACATTAAATCTATTAGTGCACAGTGTGCACTGCACACGCACACAATAATGACACTCGGATAGCTCGGATCAAACTCCCCGCACCCCGCGCTTCCCTCGACCAAAATTTTGTGCGGCGCGTCTGTGGATGAAGCGATCTATAAATGTCTAATCAAATGCCGGTTGCAGACCAAGAGCTAAGCTAAGTTAGTTTCGTTTAGCTCGCATAGCTGATGCAGTTTCCCATAGAATTGGCATAGTTTTCAGTCTACACACGACTATGGGAAACTGCGTCAGCTATGCGAGCTAAACGAAAATAACTTAGCTTAGCTCTTGGTCTGCAACCGGCATAACAATCTTAGAGTTTAATTTTTCGTCACTGCTGTGGCATAAGGTATATCAGTCTTGGATCTGTCAATAGGCCGTATAGGCGGTGGCAGATTTTAGATGACGCTTACTCGATTTCAGAAGATAAAAGTAAAATAAAGATCCAACCCCACCCTAGCCAACGGGCGGCAAAACTGTAATTCCGCCACTTGGTAAATAAGTTGATGACGTAACGTTTGTCCCCAGGAGCACCAGCTACAGTTCCAGATGATGGAGTCGTCGTTCTACCACATGCCGCACCCGTCGGACTCGGAGCGGGCGCGCGCGTATCTACCGCGCAACATCTGCCAGACGCCCATCTACTACAACCAGGTAAGACATAGTAAATCAAATCAATCTTAGGGGGCGTTCATTAATTACGTGAGACAATTTTGCCAACTTTTCAACCCCGCCGCCCCCCCCTTCGTGAGATTTGGTGAGATTTTTCTAGACCCCCTCCCCACAATCTCACGTGAGATTTCTTAAAATACATATTTGCAATGTAAAGGGTAATTCGATTAGGTTTTAATATACGAAAAAACAGTTTCTTCTTATTTATTTATTTATTGTCTAGACGGTTTAGAATAACCCAGTTCTATCGCAATTTGACCCTTTTACTTGCTGAAAAAAATTACGTGATATTTGTCGAGACCCCCCCTCTCCCCTACGTGAGATTTAGTGAGGTTTTTACGTAATTTATGGACGCCCCCTTATACACAGAGAAACATTTCTTGAGGTATATTTTATAAACTAGCGGCCGCCCGCGACTTCGTACGCGTGGATCCCGTTTTACCCCCTTAGAGGTGGAGTTTTGTAAAATCCTTTCTTAGCGGATGCCTACGTCATAATCTACCTGCATGCCAAATTTCAACCCGATCCGTCCAGTGGTTTGGGCTGTGCGTTGATAGATCTCTATTTCCAGTCAGTCACCTTTCGACTTATATACATTTAGATGTATCTGAACATGCGACATATTGTAATGTCTTTTGCATAGCGTAGTAGACTCTCGTATCATTACGACTACTCCCAGTTGCCTTTCTGTTACCATACTGTAAATAATTACTTAATTCGATGAATGTATCTTATCTGACACTCAAGTTGAGACTCTTACCACAGAATAATAATAAGTACTACGTACAGAAGTTTTACTTCGCGAAGGTATTTAAAAAAATGTATGCTCAATGTCATTAACAATTTGGTGTATTTTAGCCTGTCTCAAGAGTCAAGCACCATTTTGTTGACAAACGTCAGTGATCGGTACTGCGCCGAAGCCATAGGGCTGACTTCGGTAAAATGATGTGTGCCAAACTGCGGAAAATGGCGGAGGAAATACATGAATAATAGACTTAGAGCTGGTGAACGCCAGACCTACGTCATTTTATAAAAGCTGAAAGTTTGTCAGCGTATGCTATGCTCCCAATATAGGATACTAGCTTTCCGCCCGCGGCTTCGCCCGCGTGGAATTTTGTCTGTCACAGAAAAACTTTATCGCGCGCGTCCCTGTTTCAAAAACCGGGATAAAAACTATCCTATGTTCTTTCCCGGGACTCAAACTATCTCTATGCCAAATTTCATCAAAATCGGTTGCGAGGTTTAAGCGGGAAAGCGTAACAGACAGACAGACAGACAGACAGACAGAGTTACTTTCGCATTTATAATATTAGTTGGGATAAAAATCAGATTTAATGGTATAATGTTAGTAGAATTACAGTCTATTGAATATACAGAAAAAGCCACCGAGGATGCTCTGATAAAAGTCGATTGAGTTTAAAGTTTGTTTGCGCGCAATTCACAATATTCAAAACCGAACTGTAAATAATTACATAATTCGATTAATGTACATCTTATCTGCTGACAATCAAGTTGAGGCTCTAGAGCTAGACGATAGAAAAGTCTAATGAAACGATGATACGGGACTATTCCCACCTCTCGTTCCCACCACTGCAACTCCTGTGTAGCCAGGATCTACAACTTGACCGCCATAAAAACCCAACCAATGAAGGTCAAGTTTGTCCCGGGGGAAAGTTAAACTGTCATTGGACCCGCAACGAAATTAATCAGAAGAACATAGTAGTTCGAAACGATGATAAAACCAACTGAGTTTCTTCCGTCAATTGACAAGTTTCCAATTTTTTTTCTTTTAATAAAACTTGAGTTGAATTATATTCAACTCAAGTTTTATTAAAAGAAAAAAAAATAAGTGAAACTAATAATAATTGTGAAAGAATCATGAAAATATCTCTACAAATACAAAAGTTATAGGGCCGTAAAGTGACGCATAACAAAATTCACGCTATTTTGATTCGAAGTAGTCACGACAGTCATTAAAGTACAGTCGCGGAATGAAAAGGTTCGTCACCTTAGTGTCGGTTTTCGCTTGCACTATAGTCGGAATTATAATTCGATTCCACATTTGACAATTTCAGTGTTGCAACGTTATGACAAGTACTAAATAGTGACGTTGCGAAATTATTCGATATGGAAATGGAATATTTCCGGATCGATTCTTCTCGTTTATAATTTTACTCTCATAAACTAAGTATATCAGGAAATTAAATATTTCTGAACCGATAATTTAGTTATGACGATTAACTAACGATCTGAGACTTTTCTTTTATAATTGTGTGTGAAATAAATAAAAAAATGTGATCATGAAGGAACATGACAAATAAAACAGATATAGGTATGTTATGGTAATAATTTATTTTATAAAGGATGATGGGCACAAATGTATGGAAAGTGGTACCCGCTCCAATAGCCATAACCAATATATATTTCAAAAGGCTTTTAGATGTAGAAAAATGTCTGCTATGGGGCCAGTTCTAATTCACGTTTTGAAAGCAGTAATTCCACTAAGTATTATAATGAAAGTATAACACAATCATCCATGTATACGAGTGTGTACTATGACTACAATCTATTAATATAACTAAAAGAAGCCTTGAAAAGGAAAGGATTATACCTACGATGAACTACCCAAGCTATTAGCCCTTTATTCGCTTTCATCATCATCATCATGATCATTTTAGCCATAAGACGTCCAGTTGAACATAGGCATCCCCCAATGATTTCCACAATGGCCGGTTGGTGGCGGCCTGCATACAGCGCCTTCCCGCTACCTTTATAAGGTCGTCGGTCCATCTTGTGGGTGGACTTATTGGGTCTTGTGGGTTTATTTGCTTTAGCAACCCATAATAAAACCCTTAAGAAATAATAAAACTCCAACCCTTTTATTCATAAAAGTTACACCCTAGTTGAACTCTGATTTAAATTGTCAATTGGTATGGAAATGTCATTTTAATCCAAGGTTCATCCTAGGTATAATTTTTTTTAAATAAGGGGGTAGTAGTTCTTCAAATAAAAACATTTATTTCACAATTATCTCTATCAATAATTATAGAGTTAAGGAAGGATGCAGGAGCAGTAAACCCTTCATGCCTCGCATAACCTAAGTATCATAAGATGGACACATATGATACTTCGGTTACACAAAAAGTATGTTTATCTTCGAACGCAACCAGATCTGAGGCTGGTGGCCATAGTAAATGTTGTTCGTCTTGGTAAGACCTTTCAAATGACACTACAAACATAACTATTGGAGCCGGGTACCATTTTGCAAAAAAGTATGTTTATCTTCGAACACAACCAGATCTGAGGCTGGTGGCCATAGTAAAAGTTGTTCGTCTTGGTAAGACCTTTCAAACGACACTAGAAGCATATCTATTGGAGCCGGGTACCATTTTGCCCATTGTCCTTTTCGCCGTCATCGCTATCGCTGTCACTTTCTGTAACATTTATTATAAACTAGCGGCCGCCCGCGACTTCGTACGCGTGGATCCCATTTTACCCCCTTCATCTATCTTACGCGGTTTAGATTTTTTCATAAAAATGTTTTTTCCCGCTAACTCCCGTTCCCGTTGGAATTTCGCAATATCCTGTTGTAACTAAGCTTTAAGTTTACTAAGAGACCTTCATGCCAAATTTCAAGCGTCTAACTTAAGAGGTTTAGATTTTTCATACAAAAGGATTTTCCCGGTAATTCCTGTTCCTGTTGGAATTTCGGGAATTCTTTTCTTAGTGCACCTCTACGGTACCTAAGCTACGTCCCTTATAAATTTCAAGTGCCTATGTTTAGCCGTTTAGGCTGTGCGTGGGTATGTCAGTGAGTCAGTCATACAAAAGGAATTTCCCGCTAATTCCAGTTCCCGTGGGAATTTTGCAATATCCTGTTGTAACTAAGCTTTAAGTTTACTAAGGTACCTGCATGCCAAATTTTAAGCGTCTAACTTACGCGGTTTAGATATTTTCATACAAATGTTTTTTCCCGCTAACTCCCGTTCCCGTGAGAATTTTGCAATATCCTGTTGTAACTAAGCTTTAAATTTACTAAGGTACCTGCATGCCAAATTTCAAGCGTCTATCTTACGTGGCTTAGATTTTTTCATACAAATGTTTTTTCTCGCTAATTCCCGTTCCCGTAAGAATTTTGCAATATCCTGTTATAACTAAGCTTTAAGTTTACTAAGGTACCTGCTTGCCAAATTTCAAGCGTCTAACTTAAGCGGTTTAGATTTTTCATACAAAAGGATTTTCCCGCTAATGCCCGTTCCCGTGGGAATTCCTAAGTATCCTATAACCTGCCCAGGAGTATGAAGAATAATTGTACCAAGTTTCGTTAAAATCCGTCAAGTAGTTTTTGTTTCTATAAGGAACATACAGACAGACAGACAGACAGACAGACAGACAGACAGACAAAAATTTTACTGATTGCATTTTTGGCATCAGTATCGATCACTAATCACCCCCTGATAGTTATTTTGAAAATATATTTCATGTACAGAATTGACCTCTCTACAGATTTATTATAAGTATAGATAGATGTGTCTGTGATATTGTCAATTAAAATATCTAGCCTACTCATTTTTTCCTCTTCTTTGACAACATGGGATACGCATTTAGACCATTCGGTAGCCGTAATTATGTATTTATTTTAATAAAAATCAATAATTTAGTCTTTAATTGGTACACTGATGATGGCACACACACTGATTGTTTATCGATTTTTGTGTACATCACTACACTATTATATGTGGTATCATTATTTCACAAAATGACAGTAGCTAATGTCAAATGTGGAATCGAATTATAATTCCGACTTTAGGTACTCTAAGAATCAAACCTGCCAACATAACAGTGCTGCTAACATTTAAATAAATATGACGTTTGCTAACGAATAAGGTTTTGCTTGTTTATTTTTCTATCCCATCAGTGCTATAGTTCCAAAATACTGGACTGTCCTGTCGATGACATTGACAGTAGGGCGGCCACCGTCAATACCGGATCGCTGGTTCAGATTTTTGCCATGTTGGAAACCATATAGTTGAACGATGGTAGCGCCCCCCTGTCATTGAGTTTGGCGGGACAGTTCAGCGTGGGTCATCTATATGCAATGATGACATTGACCAATTGACAATAGTTTTTTTTATTTAATAGAAATAATAATGGCAGGTTGAACCAACAAGAAGGTTTTAGTTTATGAATCATAATAATCTTCAAGATCAAGATAAATCGTCAAACAACTTTGATCTGAATAATTTTGAACTTTACTGACGAACAGTTAAAGATTATTTTCTCTTACTCGAGATTATTCTGTAACATAGTTTCAAAAGGTAATATGTGCTCGCGATTCGTTGAAGGAATCAATTTGAAAACTGACGAACCTTTTCATTCCGCGACTGTACAAACAATAAAATCACCCCTGGTCCCGTGCTGTTGACAGATCCATTAATTTCTCAGCCATTTATTGATGGATTTCAAAAATAACTTCACCGGCTTTTTAGTTTTGGTCTATATTTTAATCCCATTCAGTGAAATCTAATGTTTTCAACATCACGAAACTTGTCCATTATTCGTCAGTTTCTTCAGAATCTTCAGAAGTAAGAAATGTTAGTTGATTGCATTCCAGGTGCTCCTGCCGCACTCGGAGTCGGTGGAATTCTTCCAGCGGCTGTCGACAGAGACGCTGTTCTTCGTGTTCTACTACATGGAAGGCACCAAGGCGCAGTACCTCGCCGCCAAGGCGCTCAAGAAGCAAAGCTGGCGCTTCCACACCAAGTACATGATGTGGTTCCAGCGCCACGAGGAGCCCAAGGTCATCAACGAGGAGTACGAGCAGGTGAGAATTTGGGGGATGCTTAGAAGTGTGAAGGCGTGTATCGACTCCCGAGACTGCTCACAAATTAGCTCGCGTTCACGAAGCGAACGCGTCTTCACACCACAGTGTCGATGCGCGCCCTTAGATCAGCAAATCGCGCATAAAAAGACGATTTGACACCATTCCCCAATAATTCGAAATCACAACTTTTCTAAAAAAACACTTCATTCTGGTCTTTAAAACTTAATTAATTTTAAATTACCTGTAAATTACGATTTTTGGTCGTATTGTAATTATTGAAAAAAGTAGTTTAATTAAGTTGACAAAATAGTGACGTCACTTGCTTGTAGTGCCTTACAAAATCTATGGGAGAGTTTCGTTTTGACAGTTTTAAAAAGTATAGTTCCAAAATACTGAACTGTCCTATGCATGACATTGACAGTGGGGCGCCACCGTCTATACCGGATCGCTGGTTCCGATTTTTGCCATGTTGGAAACCATATAGTTGAACGATGGTAGCGCCCCCCTGTCATCGAGTTTGGTGGGACAGTTCAGCGTGGGTCATCTATACGTCAATCGATTGGTGGTGTCAACATGTCTATTAGTCCGATTTATGATATGTTCCAGTCAATGAGACTTATTATGACTGAGGTGCTACCCTACTAGAGTTCCAAATGGAACTGTTCGTGTTCAACTTTATTCGTATCTCTCACTGCTTTGTAAACCATCGTTATTATTTAATTTTCATTCTAGAATGATGTCTGACCACTGATTATCTTGTTTCAGGGCACATATATCTACTTTGACTACGAAAAGTGGGGCCAGAGAAAGAAGGAGGGCTTCACGTTCGAGTATAAGTACTTAGAGGACCGCGACTTGAACTGAGCGCGCGGCGCGCCGGGGGCCACGCGCCGCCCGCCCCGGGGGCCACGCCTCGCGGGGTCTCGCGCCCCGGGGGCCACGCCCGCCCGAGCGCGGGGGCCCCGCCGCCGCGACGCTGCCTCCATTCCGTTGTACGACAGTATTTTTGTAACGATGTGAACGATGTCTCTGTGGTGACTCAGTGAACTACCCGGCAGGTGTCCCGACGCGGCCGTCGTCGAGTGAACTTCGCATTTCTGGCAGTTTTTTATATTGTAGAAAACGAGCGTTTTAACGAATCGGCATCGAGAAACGAGCGCGCGAAAGATATCACGCGACGCGATGATCGGTTTCGGCCGTTCGCGGGATTATTATTATTAAAAACAATGTGATATTGATATATAGGCGCCCGGGGCTCGCTCGCCTGCCGCCGGCGCCGGGCCGCTCGGTCGTCGCTCGCGCCACACTTTAATTTTTCCCGATAGGCCTCGTTAGCGCTAGATGTTGTAAGATAATGTAGATAAGCCCGTTATATTTGATGACATCACAGTGGAGCGACGCGACCGGGCCGCCCGCGGCGCGTGACGAGTCTGTGACGAGTCGGACCCGCACGCTCCGCCACGAAAACCGCCCCGATGGGGGGAGGAAGCGATCTATAAAGCTGAGCCAGTGCCTTTCTTATTATTTGTCATATACACGATTGCTGTAGGAGCTGACGCAGTAAATTTGGCAGCTCAAAAACCAACGACTGACGCGTTTTGAACTGGCAAATTTGGACACGTCGCTTCCGTGATGGAATGTAAAGAGTTGACTGTCCGGTGAATGAACGTTTTTATAATACTGTAGATTCGACATCACATGAAGAGGAAGTGGAACCTGATTGGAATTGCGCTTTCTCTCCTCATCCGTTTCGGCGAGTGCGTGGTGTGCGGCCACGACGATGACTCGAATATGGAAGCCGCGTGTCCCGCGGGCAGGCGGGCCGGTCCCTGGACTTTTGTTTTAATCTTGTGTATAGTGAGCAATTTGGAATAGTTCGGAATTAATTTAAGTGCTAACTCACGCGTACAGCTGATGTACCGACAGTTTTTAAAAATGTTACAATAAAATTGTTTACCACATCGTAATAGACTGTATTTATTGAACTGCGTGGCGGTTGTATGTGATTAACTGACGTGTTTGCTATACGATCAACGCCCGTTTTTATATGACGCGATTTTGTATGAAGCTCGTACAGCAGTCGTATTCGTGATTTAGGCCTAAATATAAATACCGTAGGATCTCCAGTGTGATTTCATTAGATGCGCTAAGGCGGCGCGCTCTCTCACTCCGCTCCGTGGAACGTCATCGAGTCGTGTATATTATACATTTAGTGCATTTAAATTGAACAAAAGCTTAAATCGTAGCGTACGTGAATCACTGCCACGCTTCTTGTAATATATTTCGGTGATTAGACTTACGATATTTAAATTGTACTTATTTATTTTGTGATAAATTATTAGCGCCAAGGCAGGGGCGGGTGAGAGAGCAGCCGGACTCGTCGAGAGCAATACAACTTACTGCCAGACAGTACTCGTACAATGGTACGGCAATAAGCGGCCGGGGCCGTGGCCCGACGCGTCGCGTCGTGTCGCGCGGGGTCGCGTCGTGTCGCGCCGCGTCGCGTCGTGTCGCGCCGCGTCGCGTCGTGCGGTAGGTGAGCGGTCGAGCGCGCGATCTCGTTTATTCCGTGCGTTATGTTGATAGTTTTCACTTTTGTAAAAAGTTATCGTGAAAGCAAGTATGTGGTAAATAATAATTTAAAAAATTATCTGTACAGTTCTATTTGTATAGAAATAATAAATAACGATTAAAAAAATTTAAAACATGTTGTGATTTCTTCTTACGCTTAGTTTTAAGTGCGTCGGTTTTGACGCGCCGCGTCGCTGCGGTCGCGGTTCTCGCATTTCTTTTTTCTAATTTATTTTTTTATTAAAAGAAATGACTGTTTACTTTGTAGAATAAATTGTAAGAAAGCATTTAAAAATTTTGTTTATTTGAAAATTTTAATATGGCCCCAATTATTATTACAAATTGATACCTAACAGACTTGTTGTTATCAAATAATGTCAACTGATTAGGATAATTTAATAGCCAATAGGTCTGAGCACCAAAACACTGTTCTCTAAAATTAGAGATTCTTGAACGACAGAAGTGCAATCTATTTTTATTAAAATTGTGCTCGACTATAGATGCGATTCTCAACAACATCTCTCTGCGATTGAACAATTTTATTTAACACCTATTTATTCCACAAGGAATAATCTAACTTCGTGACAACTAATAATAATTACGATCTCCGCCACGAATCTGTCGGTCTCAGAAAATAAGTCAAAAAATAACTTATAAATTCCAGAAGAAATCTGTGTGCTGTGATCACTTTCTTACCATAAATATTATCAAAAGGTTTCTTACTATAGTCTGGTCTGCGAGCACGTAGAATTTTGTCCAATGATCCCAAGCTACCCATCCTTATCGCTCGCGCGTAATTATATTGCTGTCGCGACTGTGCGACGTGCGCCCGCAGTGAGTGTGCGAGCGCGACAGCAACATAATTACGCGCGAACGATAAGGATGGGTAGCTTGGGGTCATTGGACACAGACCGGGCTTTAAATACAGTTGTAACTGGGCTTACAAAAATGGCATCAAGGGGTTAGCAAAATAAAACGGCAATTTATACAAACTAACAAGTATATTAGGTTCGTTTTCGCTTAGCAAACTTGCCCTTCCCTCCCCCGCGCCCGCCTTTGCCCTTGATGCGCCGACGCACGCCTGCCGCCTCCTCCGTGTCGTCATCCGAGTCGGCGCCACGCTTCTTGCCTTTGACGCTCTTTTTGTCTTCTAGCTCTTTCATTTCCTGTGGGAAGGAAAGGGAGGGGTGAGAAATATGTTGAGATAAAACATAGTTTGAGAATAATGTTAGAAGTTTACCATGAGAAAAGAATTGCCTTCATTGGTAAATTTTATTGGAAAGTTCGTCTTTTGGTGCACAATTGCAGTGGTGGGAATACTTTATTACAGAAAATGAGTGAAAAAAAGCGCTTGAAAACGCTAGCACTGAGAAATAAACTATAAAGTCCGGTCGCCGAGCACGTAGAATTTCGTCCAATGACCCCCAAGTTACCAATCCATATCGCTCGCGCGTAATTATATTGCTGTCGCAACTGTAACGACAGCAGTACAATTACGTGCGAGCGATAAGGATGGGTAGCTTGGGGTCATTGGACGAAATTCTACGTGATCGGCGACCACGTTACACGTTTGTTAACTTCAATAGTGACGTGTTCTTATATTTTTTAGCAGTCGCAGCGCTTACCGCGATCGCCATTTTACTTACAAGCGCTTTTTTCCGCGAATCTCACCCAATATTTAATGAGGGCTATCGTTTTTATACTTAACAGTTGGCACCCCTGGCGATTGACAGGACCTTACTCTACAGTGGGGCCATCTTGATGAGTGCAAATGCGATTGTCCTCCTACCACTTTAGCGCTCACAAGTTGGTGCCACTGTCTTCGCTACTAGCAAGTGACAGGACCTTACTCTACAGTGGCGCTAACTGGTGAGGGCTAAAACGATAGCCCTCATTAAAAGTTGGTTTGTTCGTTTGCATTAGATACTGAGATCTTTATTTTACTTGCATCATTAAAACAAGGTATACTTACAATATTGGTGAGGCGTTGTGCTTCCGCCACTCGTTCCTGCAACACCATGACTTCGCTCTCATCAGTCGGGTAAAGCGGCAGCTGCTTGCCGATCAGCTGTTCGATGCGCTGGTATAACTCCACATCATACTAAAATAGAACTTTGGATTAGTAACAGAGTAAATACAAATGAGTAGGTCATCTTCATAGGAACGCACGGGCGCGGTTTGTATGTAAGCGCGCCAACACGTATGCACATACAACCCGTGCTTGGTGCGTTTCTATGAAGATGACCTACTCATTTTTATTTACTCTGTTAGTAACCTAGCACTTAGACGCTTTACACTGGAATAAAGTCGAACCTTAACTTCGAACTCGTATGTTCTTCTGATTAATTTCGTTGCGGCTTCAATGACAGTTTAAAAACCGGGATGAACTTGACCTCCACTGGTTGGGTTTTTATTGGTGGTCATGGTCAAGCTTTAGATTCTGGGTACACAGGAGTTGCAGCGGTGGGAATAGTCCCTTTAGTCAATAAAATCTCAAAAGCAATCGAAATAATCTGGAGATACAACAATATTAGAGAAAAGAAAACCATCTCAGTGTCGAACTCTGAAGACTTAATATACTAGACTGGGTTTTAAAGTCCTTTAGTGGCGACCACGGGCAAAAGCGTAGTGTGGGGCAGGACTCCCACTTGGTGGACCGACGATTTGGTGAAGGTCGGCAGTAAGCACCTGACTGCATATGGACAACCGTTATGGAAATCTTTGGGGGAGGTCTTTGTCCAGCAGTTAACGTCATTTGGCTAATGGTGCGTCCACACTGGGCGAACGGGCTCGCGCGGCAAACTCGACATCCTGCTCACTCAAGAGCAGAGTAAGCAGGATGACCAACAATGTGGACGCACCATAAAACGAATAAACAAAAAAATAACAACTTAAGTACAACCCGGTCGAGTTAACTGCGCACCTGGAAGCCGTGACGTCACATCAACACACCACTGGTATGGACGAGGCGAACGAAAGGTGTGCGGGTATAGATGACCCACGCTGAACTGTCCCGCCAAACTCAATGACAGGGGGGCGCTACCATCGTTCAACTATATGGTTTCCAACATGGCAAAAATCGGAACCAGCGATCCGGTATTGACGGTGGCGCCCCACTGTCAATGTCATCGACAGGACAGTCCAGTATTTTGGAACTATAAGTGACAGGGAGAGTCGCGTTTCAGCGAGGTGCGCAGCTAACTCGATCGGTACCTCTAGCATGAACAACTTTCGTCTTCGAATTGTTTGTGTATTCGACAAAATTCGATACCCAACCTTCGAATTAAACGATAACGTGACAATATTTTGATTCTCAAAATAAGTTTCTCATAATAAGTTCACTTTACGACACGTTCACAAGGGCGCTGTTGTAGTTTTCGTACTAAATCTTTTGATGGCGATTCGAATACGAAAACGATTCAAACTCAAAAGTTTTTCGTGCTAGCCGTACGGGTTTGTTTGTAGCTCTGCAAAAGTACCTGTGAGACAAAAGTGATCGATTTCCCGGCGCGTCCCGCTCGCGCTGTGCGGCCCACGCGATGGATGTAGTCCTTGCTATGCAGTGGGATGTCCAGGTTTATCACCACATCCACGTGAGGGATGTCCAAACCTCTGCGAAGAGAACGCGTTTTGCAAAACTATAGATTATTTCTATACCTTCATCTCGGTTTATTTTTTTACGCTAATCTAGTACTCCTAATCGTTGTCGTTTATTTACCTACTTTATTGAGACAACAAAGCTTTTTTGATGTGCTTTTTTATCTAAGTTTCACGACTATTCCCAACGTCAACTCTGCTTGTCTCAGCAATTTCGAGATCTCAAAATCTACATATCAATGAAACTACTTGAAGCGACAATAGCCGAATGTGTCAGTGTCGGATTCGATTCGTGATCCGAGGAACCCGGGTGTGATTCCGGCCGCTCGACTATTGTGAACCCACTCGTAACACATGCATGTTTAGCTTATCACGAAGGATTAATTATTAAAAAAGTCATGGATCACAGAAATTAAAGGGAGATGTGACAACTGACAAGGGGGCGGGGCCGGTGTCGCAGCAATATGCCCAAAAACAGAACAAATTGCTCGTGACAGCAGCGACGTCATAATGTAAACAGTTTACATTGCTTGCGTAGTACTAAAGATTATTCGAACGTTGAGAACTGATACCGCAGTGAATAATGAGCGCATATTTTGATAACTTTGTGCGTGAGAATTTCTATAGTGTGAGTTTCGAACTCAGCGCATTAGTTGGCATCTCTCTATTAGCTCTAAAAAAAGTAGTCAAAAAACTTACCTGGACGCAACGTCAGTGCATATAAGTATAGACCGCGACTTGTTCTTGAACTTATTAAGCGCTGCAAGCCGCTTGTTCTGCGACATCTGTCCGTGGAGCGGCACCGCGGCCAAGCCCAGCGCTCGCAGAAGCAGCGCCGCGCGCAGTGCGCCCGCACAAGTGGCCACGAACACTATGAACGAGTTGCCCGCCATCTCGTTGAGGATGTGGACTAGGTATACGTCCTGTGGATGAGATTGGCGATAGTGGTAGTCTGCGTCAGCTATATCACCCAAAATACAACTGTAAAGCCCGGTCTGTGAGCACGTAGAATTTTGTCCAATGACCCCAAGCTACCCATCCTTATCGCTCGCGCGTAATTATATTGCTGTGATAAGGATGGGTAGCTTGGGTTATTGGACAAAATTATACGTGCTCGCGGACCAGACTATGTTAGGTAAAGGTCATAATTCGCAAACAACCTCCTCTACATGGGAATTTGCTATTGGCGTGTCTAGTTCCAGTACTTCCAGTCAACCTATAGAAATTACTAAAATTTTTGTAAGTCAAAAGGTAAATTTTAGAAAATTTACAATAATATGTCATACTCAGCTTTCAATAATAGCTCAATTGCTGTGCTGTTAATAAGTCTACCAGTCTGCCACTACTGATAAATGATGTTTCATCATCATCTAATGAAATCATTTTTAGTGGAAACCTTGCACTACAAACAGTGTTGCCAGTCGGGTCTAGTCAGAAATTACCAGAAATATAAATAAAATTTATAAATAAATTACCAGAAATAAAAATATAAATACAGGGGGGGGGGGGTGCGGGGTG